TGAGTCTGTAATCAAGAAACACAGCGGTAATTTGGAATTCGAAACGGGTCTATTCTAACCAACATTGAGTTGTAGACACCGAGTAGTAAGCAGGAATGCCAATCTGGCACAGGCAGCCCACAACGTGTGATAGAACACTTCACCTCCTGAATACACTTAATTTATATTTTATTGCTGGTTTTYAATCATTCCAAGGGAGTGAAATAACAAAAGACATGGCGGCCATGTTKGTTGATATAACAAAACAATTAATTGACAAGTATTTTGTTAAGTTCAACCAAGATGGTGGCTATGACGTCATGTGKAAACGAAGAATTAGCCGTACCTTAGAAACAGCGTTAGGAACCATGACAATGAGATCATGTTCAGGATACCCAGATCTTTAAGATGGCCATAGAGCTCTGGTAAATGGACCCTYGTCAAATCCTCAAACACTCCTGTCAGTGAGGTAAAGAATGGAATACWTACGTGAGCCCAGGCTGCGTGAGCCACATATTTGAGTGAACTGACTAAGTAAGTAGATAAAGAAACAATAGTGCTGGAGTAGCATTCATGCTCCCTGACATCTTATTGACCCGTTTGAGTGTTGGTCTCTGTCAACCGATGATCCTTAAATCTAACCGTTGTACACGAGTGATGAACAGAACCCTCGCAGTACACTTTTTAACTATGGTTGTAACCYTGAGTAAAAATAATCAAAAATAATGAACCTGCTATAAAGTTAACAAGGAAGCAGATTTCGTTCAAATTCAACGGCTTGACCCTTCATAAAAGTTCAATTTTTACTGCTGACCCCTCTCCCCCCATACCCCTTGAAACCCCAGTCCTCCCGCCAATAAAAAATGTACCTTCACTAAGTAAATCATTATCATAACTAACCTTGGTCAACCAGTGCACCCACTACCTTGGTATTATAATAGTCCGGTAAGAGACGCTCACACACAGCTACCAGCAACCAGAAGGCTTGTTCTTCGGTACAGTATAACAACAACACTGACGCTACTATGTTCATTGCTTGGCAGTAACCTACAATCACAGTATCACAAAACAGAACATTATGCTGACAGCATCATGACATTTATGTC